AGGACAAGGGGGAATGGTTTTAAACTAAAAGAGGGTAGATTCAGACTAGATATAAGGAAGAAATTTTTTACGCTGAGGGTGGTGAAACACGGGAACAGGTTGCCCAGAGAGGTGGTGGATGCCCCATCCCTGGAAACATTCAAGGGTGAGGCTGGCAGGGCTCTGAGCAACCTGATCTAGTTGAAGATGTCCCTGTCCACGGCAGGGGGGGTGGACTAGATGACCTTTAGAGGTCCCCTCCAACCCAAACTGTTCTATGATTCTATAAAACAATCCCGTTTCCGAATTCTAGAATCTGAGGATGCATTTGTTACCTGAATGCTCAAGTATGCACACTATCCAGAAACTGCTGAACTGACTCGCAAATGGTGTAAACTAAGTTAGAAACCTCTCTTTGGATCTCATTTTGTTCTTGGTCAGACTAGATTAAGATTGAATAAAGCCAGACCTCCATTCCCATAACAAATAGCCATCAAATCATCCTAGGATGCAAATTCAGAGGGAGTGGTTAAATAACTATTCACACCTATAGCGCTGGATGACAGAGAATAGCAGACAGGGAAATAGGCTTCTAAGCCTGACCTACAAAGAGTGGGGCCATCCCTCCTGCCTGGGGAAGCCCGTATACAGGCCCAGTGGAGGAGCCAGGATTCATCTGCAGGAGCCACGGAAATTCAGGGGAGCTCCGAGGATGCAGAATGCTCATTACGCCACAGAGTTGCTGCATCTGCTAAGTACTGGGCTGAGGGGGAGGCACATGGTAGTAGAAAAGCTCTGCAATTAATTCTTTCCTTCTGGAAATCCACAGCAGTCAAACTACTCAGGGCAGCTCAGCAAACTGGGTCACTGGAGGAAGACAGAATTTGTTTTCTTCCTTTATCTTGTTGAAATTCAGATCCTCCATACATTAATGAAATGAAATGCTGCTCTTGTATCATATCACCTTCTACAAATGCTATTAGAAATGCCTTTTCTTCCTCAGTTTCCAGACTGGGGGTGGCTGATGCTCCTCTCTGACAATTTCTCTGTGTGGATTGTGCACAGTAATATCCAATGTGCTTAACCTGTACTATCTTGCATTATGAGTGTTTCAGGATTATTACCAGAGATGATTAATAAAAAAATCCTTAATTAAGGTTTTAGTTGCTGTGACAGATAAAATAGCCTGTACATCTGATTCTCTTTGTCAAAGGAAGTGGCAGAAATATTTCAGCTACTCCTTTAAGGTAACACTTGCAACTGGAGCCAAATAAAAACCTTCCACTAACAGCACACAGCAATTCCTGCTGTTGTCAAGGCTAAATTTAAGTTACCACAGTGCGCTGGGGGAAGGTTTAAAGCAATGTCCATTACTCGGTAGCAGCTTACAAACCACATCTTGAATTAAAAAAAACCCAAGCAAACATGTCCTTCTGAGAAAACGGGATACAGAAAGCTCTGCTTGCAACTCAGGAAAAGTCACTGTGTAAAAGGGCTTTCATACTGACTTTGCAAATGTGATTGTAATAGGCAGATGATCAAAGGTCGGCTCCTAGGCACATGATGGGAATGGAAAATAGTCAAGTACAGAAGCTGTCATTAAAGTGAGTGATGGAAATATTTAAAAGGAAAAAATGTTGAAGAACAGAGTGTTGTTCAGTGGCACTGAATCCCCTATCTAGTATCTTCTAACAACATAGCACAATCAACAAACATACTTCTGGGACCAACAACAATGTGTATAGGCTTCACACCCACACTTTGGACTCTTTGCAAGGTCTCAAAGCACAGGAACTCAAATTTTACATCACCATCATAACTGAAGTCATGATCTACCCTTGGTGAGCCTCATTCATATGGTTTTTCTGATGTTGCAAGGGTATCTAGCAATGGCTTCAAAAAAGTGAGAGATTTTATTTTGCAGAACTTAGTATAGCCATAGTCTCATTCACTTCAAAGTTGCAAGCACAATCAGACAACTTGTAGTCAATGTCTCACCACCCCTTCACTGTATCAAACACTTATCTGCTATCATGTGCTGATTATCTCCTTCCTAGCCTCTATTACTCATATCTAAGTTTGAAAAGCTGCACTATCACAGTACAACTAGCAATTACAGAAATGCGCAAAGGAGAACTTCTTTTGCTTAAGTTTCACGTAAAATGCGGAACAGAATCCCAGGGAAGTAGTAAGTGGTCTAATAGCAGCATGTCTCAATCAAGACACTGCAAACACAAGGCCACAAAATACAGGGACATTAAATATTTCAGATTGAGCAAAAGAAGGAACCTTCCCAGTCGTAACTGCAGGCTCTAGGTATGGTATAAAGGTGAAGCGATGGCCCGTATCACTACGGATCACTGCTACATGATATGTATATACAAGCTACTTTGGGATCATCATGCCAACTACTGCTGTGTCATCTTAAGAAGGATTATAGCTTTGCTCTTGCTGTTAGTAACATTTATCCATATGGGAACTTGAATATTTTTACTCCCTTGCCTTTCCCAGATATAAGTGCAAGAGGACAGTACATGGAGAATCTGATCCTTCACGTTTTATGCATGCCTAAGCATAAAAGACTTTATGACTGCTAGAGCAAGCTTTACAGATCTTTGATTTATTGACTTGAGGAACAATAACCCTTATATCAGCTGTTTTACATTCCGCAGTTTCGTAAGAGTGTTGTTTTTCATTAATAGAGAGAAACCAACAAAATAATCAGCTCATTAACACTGATATTCCCTCTTCCTTGCAGTTTAACGACATTGGCGTTTTTGAAACAGTCTGGCAAGTTAAATTCTACAACTACCACAAACGGGATCATTGCCAATGGGGAAACAGTTTTGGTAGTATTGAGTATGAATGCAAACCAAATGAAACGCGCAGTCTTATGTGGATCAATAAAGAGACCTTCCACTGAAGAGATGTGAAACCAATACTGCTGGACAACCTCCCTAAAAAAAAATCTACCTTTTTAAACCAGCAAGAAGCCTTAACAAAGGCATACTGTAACATTGCTTTGTTCCATAAGGTTCCAACAACTATGTTGTATATACAGGTGGTGCCACTAAAATCTTTGCCTATTACTGTATTTTAAGTTTACCATGGCATCTGCAACATTCTTTATCTGTCACCCTGAGAATACTGTAAAGTTCATGATAAAGAATATTTGATAGCTGGGTAGAAAGTCATACCATCATAATACCGTCATAAGTATTTGGATTATGCCCACTAAACGGTTCCACTAGACGTAACAACTTTTGTGAAGTGTTTTGCTTTATTGCTTAGAATTTGGATGCAACATCACATCAGTGATTTCTGTATTTATATTTGTGTTTGCTCCTAAATCGGTGTGCTCCTTCAAACATTTTGTCAAACGTCATCCCAGTGGACAGCAAAAAGTGCAAAGTATGGGTATTTGTAGGTTTAGCTAAATGGCAGCTACTGCACTGTTGATATTGTGCTTTCATACCAGGGGATTTAGAAACTCATTCTCCCTTTTGTTAAGTCCTGTAAGATATTCTGTGAAGTTTGCTAATTTACCAAATCTCTCAAAATAGGATTCTTTGTTGTTAAGTTTCCCAGTCTCTGAAATAGCTTTAGGAAATGGTATAAAATGTGCTAACCTAAATGAAAGAAAAGCAATAAATCAGTTGTGATATCAAAGACATCTAACAACACGGCTAATATGTATCTTAAGATCATCTAGTATTCTTGAAAATTTTTGTTTTAGTGACACATTGCTCAAATCAGTAAAATCCTACAAATCAATTTTTTTCAACCCCACAACCACTGTTGTACCAAAATCAACAGGATTTCTGACCAACAAACACTCAGCAGTGTGAAGAGAGTACATATCATGCTTATACATGCATTGCATTCTTTCAAATAAAGATAAAAGATAAAGCATTTCCATGGTTATGACTAAAGGTGCTACATAAACACTAGATCAGTGTTTAACACATACAGACAAATCAATTTTTTTCAACCCCAACCACTGCATTGTACCAAAATCAACAGGATTTCTGACCAACAAACACTCAGCAGTGTGAAGAGAGTACATATCCCAGTACATGCTTATACATGCATTGCATTCTTTCAAATAAAGATAAGCATGTAAGCATTTCCATGGTTATGACTAAAGGTGCTACATAAACACTAGATCAGTGTTTAACACATACAGACAACAAAAAACAAACATATCTTTTCTTTCAGTAAATAAAGCAGGGAAACAACTACACTGTCCCATCCCCAACTTGGGCTGAAGTAAGCTGTCAGTTCTTGCATATCTGTTATTCCTTTTGTGAATAATTTGTAAATTGTGTATGTAAATGGTAACCATGACTTTTGATCTTTGTAATAAAGGACTTAAACAATTTCTTCTCTAGTATGACCATCTAAATGAATTGAAAATACTGTATCAAAAAAGGCAGCGGTTTTAGAAAGTCAGACAGCAGAGGGTGCATAGTCAGTGCTTTCTGAGAACCCAGTCCAAAGTACCTCATGTTCTTTACCCAAAGCTACTGTTTCTAGGAAATACAGATCCAATGTGCTAGAATGCAGACAGTCAATGTGATAACACTCAGTAGAGCTTATTGATAAAATTCAACTGCATTTTGTTGCACTAACATAGTGTGGAAAGTAGAGATTTAGGGCAGAAGTGAAATACCAAAGAAATATTGTCTTCCATTGAATTATTAATCAAAAAGCTTGACTGTTTGCAGATTTCTACAGACAAGTAGCACTGATGTAATACACCACTGAACAGTGAGCTAGCCAGCTGCCTCTCTACTCTGAGGCAATATTACATAGGCAAATTTCACCGCTATGAAATGCTAGAAATAATCTTCTGCATTAACTTCTTTCCTAGACTACAGAAAGAATTCTTCAAAATGAAGAAACAGAACTGAGCAAATTCAAATGAAATCTGTACTTCAGACAGAAGTGTTATTGCCAGCATTTTAGCAGAAGTTTCCAGATAACAGGCTTCAATGATACCAAACTTCCAGCTGTCAATCAATTCTATCTCTGCACTACCAGAAAGTGATTTTATTCTGCAACAATTGGCATACTTTGGTTTATGTTGTTTGTACATATGAACTGAAAGCACATCAGCAAGAAATATGTATGATACATAAATTAACAGCATAATTCACCACATAAATTGTGGTGAATGGAGTTAAATCCAGTTGGCGGCTGGTCACGAGCGGTGTTCCCCAGGGCTCAGTTTTGGGGCCAGTCTTGTTCAATATCTTTATCGATGATCTGGATGAGGGGATCGAGCACACCCTCAGTCAGTTTGCAGACTGCACCAAGTTGGGTGGGAGCATTGATCTGCTCAAGGGTAGGAAGGCTCTGCAGAGGGACCTGGACAGGCTGGATCGATGGGCCCAGGCCAACTGTATGAGGTTCAACAAGGCCAAGTGCCGGGTCCTGCACTT